CTATAACATCACTGAAAATTATCTCATTCATTTTATGTTAGATTAATTATGTAATCAATCAAATATACACTGAAATAATTAATTATTAATTAACACTGAAATAATTAATTATTAATTAATTATATTATGGTCTATTGTTATTAAACACTAAATAGATGAATTGTTTGATTGAGTTTTGTGTCTGAATGAACCGTTATGGGTTGAATCATTCAGTTAAACTCAATGAAAGGTTCATGCTCTCAGTCGTTTAGCTATTTAAACGTCTCTCCATTAGACAATTAACATATTCTGAAAAACTTAAACGACAATGAAGGTAGTAGTTCTCTCATACTCAATATTTCCAACGATAATCTCCCATATTCTACAAGGTACGTCGTTCTTATTATTCTTGAATATTCTATAACATAATAATATGTTGTAATGTTGTGTCTATCGATTCTTTCAAATCTATCATTTTATTCCAAATCAACCAACAAAATATCATCCAAATAATGTTCAGCCGCCTATTGTCAACCAAACCCGACCAATGTCCTAGACCTGAAAAAATGATCTAAAAGATTCGCTTTCACACCTACATCAAAACCAATTCAAGAATAAATGTTCGATTAAACATTCCACACCACTGCACTTCTATGGAATGGGTGAATTATGTCTTCCTCATGCTGAAAACAAAACACAAAAACCAAATCATGTAGATTATGGATAATATTCTGAACATGAAGTTGCAGTCTTATTGGGAGTTTAATATTTTTACTCTGCATTTTGAGTTTGGATCCGCTCCATTTATCACTCCTCCATTTAGTCTGGTTCAATTCTTAGATGCATGACACATGGTAAAAGAATAACTCAACGATTGAGATGTAAAATCAGTATTTAGTTTAATAAAAAAAACAAATTATAAAAGACTTTATTAGTTTTACTCTCTTTTTCACTAGTACGCTATTTCCTCATGTTTCTGTTCTTGGTCTTCTTCTTTGTCTTAAATAAAAGATGGCGGTGAATTGGAGTAAGACCACGAGACGGAAATTTGGAAAGAGATTTTGATAAGAAGACAAAGAAAAATGGTGATTCAAGTTTGCTCAAAAACTTTCTTTTTGAATTTCATAAAGATTTGAAAAATTTATTTTTACCACTTTGTAAAAATTTGTCAGAAAATACGGCGAGTTGTGGAGACAGTTATGGCGGTTGGTGTTGTTAGGTTTCAGAAGATAATGGAATTGTGTGGATTTTTCACAAGACTACCCTGTTCTGAAACCCATAATACCAAACTACCCTGTTTTGAAAATATGTATGAATGTGCTCTAGGTTCAGAACCTGCTCGTCCACTGAAGTGGCGAGCAAATGAAGGCATTTTTGGCCACGTTAGTGCTCGCCCACTCAGATGGTGAGCACATGAAGAGTCAGTTTTTTTTTTGTTTTTTTAATTATATTATATATTTAATCACATATTTAATAATTTTAATATAAAAATCATATTAGAAAATATATTATACTAATTTAATAATAAAATATTAATTAATAATATATTATAATAATAAAATATTTTATACTTTATTAATCTAATAAATAAATACTAATTAAAAATACATTATAAGATTAAAATATTTTATGTTGTTTTAATATAATAATTAAATAACAATTAAAAATATATCATAATAATAAATAAAAATTTGTTGTATTAATTAAACACAACAATAAAATATATTAAACAAAAATGCATGTTACATATACATTTGATCAAAAATGGCCCCCAGTTCCACATCTAGTGGTCCTTTTCTGTCGATATCCCCTGCCCAAATGTTCATTTGCATTTGTTGTAGGTGATTGAGATGAGTCGGAAGACATATCTTCATTGTGATGTGCTATAGGGGTTCTGCCTGCCTTGAAGGGGGTTCTGCTTGTGTTGATGGTTGCTCAGCAAGAAGATCATCAATGTTAAAATCTGGCATTTGCATCAGTTGATCCTCTATCAACAAAATTTTTTGGAATGATTATGATGGTTGCGGTGGTTGTGGGTAGGTTTCGGATTGGGTTTGTTGGAGGATTGGGTAGTAGACATCATCAGGCGTGAAGGTGGAGGTGGGTTGAGAGAATGAAGTGTTGAAGGTTTGATATTAGAATTGAGGGTTTGACTGATCAAAGTTGGATGGTGGAACTAGAGGGAACTGTAAGGGTGGTCGAAGGTTGGGTTGGGGTTGATATTGTTGGTTGTAGTTGTAGTTATAGTTTTGTTGAGGGAGTGGATTGTAGGGAGTTTGGTTTTGGGATGAGGATGCATAATATATGTGTTGTTCGGTTGTCTGTGTGCGTTGGTATGTATGTTAAGCTGATGAAGATGTGTGCCTCCCAAATTGAGATGTGTAGTTTGGTGGCACATCCTGATGCATTGATGTGGCAGTTGGTTGTGTTGATGACGACCTTGCATGTGTGGGTCAATCAAAAATTGGTCTGGAGCAATATGCACATAAGGAATAACACGAAACTAAGTTATATGCTCTTGCCTTGGCTTGCATTCACCAACTACAGTGTCCCCCTGCAAAATCAAATGTCTTATATGTTTCCATTCTCTCACCACCTCCTTGTTTAAGTCTCGCCAATGAACTTTTTGGGCTTTTCTCATTGTCATTGCGTGGTGTTCCCTTAGACACCTTGACAGGGAAGGGATTTGTTGTTCAAATCTAAACTGGAGTTTTACCCTATCTGTTTGATGCATTTCAATGGTATAGAAACAAATAAGAGAAGTTGTAGCACTCCAGATCTGGCTATCTCTATGATTGGGCATTGGGTATTGAATGTACGACCTCCATAAAAACGGCCACATATTAAAGAAAATTATAATACCATTAAGGAGTATAATCGACAACTATGTTCTATGGTTTGAAACTTACATCTTTTTCTTGCATATGGTCCAATGCTTTTCGATATCCTTGTAGATGGAAACGAGGATTAGCATCATAATTCATCCGTCTTTGGGCCCATCTTGCATAAACCAAAAAAATAAATATTGTTAAGCATAGTTGAATAACAAATATATATGTGTGTGTGTGTGTGTGTGTATTACATACACATAAATGTGTGTTTTAATCTAGTAATACCTTTGTGCGTATGAATATGACAGTTGCACTGTACTAACAGAAGCAAACAATGGTATACGCGTGAATGCCCAAGAAGTGAGTAGAAGAACACAACCACTCATGCTCCTAATATCCTTGATTGCTACCTTGCACATTTTCCTGTACAATTTTGCAAGACATGCAGAACCCCAACTATAGGTGTCTCATTTTTCTAGATCCCCTACAAAAGGAATCCAGGAAGAATGCAAAAGATTTTGACTCTTGTCGAAAAACAAAATAGTAGCGATTACAAGTAAAATATAAACTTTAGCTTGTAAAACAATATCTTATTGTGTGGGGGCAGAGTTATCTTTTAAAATTTCATATAAATTTTCTAGCCACGTAATCCTAACAGAACCTCTGTTTTTATCCGCTTCTGTAGGTTCCACCCCTAAGCTCTCCATGTAAACATCATTTGTGACTTCGGTAGGACCGTTGATAGCTTTTCCACCAACTCGGAGACCAAGTAACATATTCGCATCTTCTAACGTTATCGCGCATTCACCTGTTGGGAAGTGAAAAGTGTGTGTTTCTGGTCTCCATCTCTCTAACAGAGCTACAACTAAGCTGGAGTCGATTATAAGACTATTTATTTTTGCGATATGAGCAAAACCAGCTGGAGTCAACCGGTATGGAATGAGCCAAACATCCGAAGGCGAACCAACACAAAACAACCAACCTTTCATACCAAATGAAGAGGTTGGAGAAGCAAGTGATGACGATCTTCAGGAGGTCAGGATACAAGATATTTTTGGTAACAACAATGAAGAAGACGATGAAGATATAGTTGTCGCTTCTACGCAGCCGATTCATGCACAACCAATAAGTTTGTACAACCCATCTGCACATATGCAAAATATATGTATGGAAAATGATGAGACAACCTCCGTGTTTGGAAGTGTCATACCAAACCATATAGGTGAAGAAATAGAGATTGGGATGGAGTTTGAAAACAAGGAAGCTTGCATCTTCACTCTGCAACATTGGCATATAACACACAGTGTTGACTATTGGGTTTATCAATCTGACAATGAACAATATGTAATTAAGTGTAAGAAACAAGACTGCAATTTCAAGTGCAGAGCTTCCTTGAGAAAAAGGAACTCAAAATGGGTGATCGGTAAGTTGTTTGGGCCTCACACATGCACTACCACGTCTATGGAACAAGACCATATGAAGCTCAGTTCAGAAATAATAAGCCATAACATCAGAGAACTTGTCAACTGAGACGCTTCACTTAAGGTAAAGGTGATCATTGCCCATATTCTTGAAAAATACAGGTACATAATATCTTACAGGAAAGCATGGATCACTAAGTGTAAGGCCATAGAGTCGCTCTATGGAAATTGGGAAACATCTTACAACGACCTGCCACAATGGATACTGGTAATGAAAACCTACTTTTTAGGAACCATTATAGATTTGCAAACCCTACCTGCAATTTCAAATGATGGTTCCCAACTCTTTGGAAAACGAATTTTCCATCGCCTGTTTTGGGCATTTCGTCCGTGTATACGTGGCTTCGCCTACTGTAAGCCCATTGTACAAGTAGACGGAATTTGGTTGTATGGCAAGTACAGAGGAACTCTATTGATGACGATGGCACAGGATGGAAACGCAAACATTTTCCCAATAGCATTTGCATTGGTCGAAGGTGAAACAAAGGAAGCATGAAGATTTTTTCTAAGGAACCTGAGGTTACACGTGACACCACAACCTAATTTGTGCCTAATCTCTGATAGACATGAATCGATGAAGAGTGCATATAACAATCCCGAAGACGGATGGCAACATCCACCATCTTCACATGTCTACTGCATTAGACACATTGCTCAGAACTTCTTGCGCGAGATTAAGGACAAGGATCTACGCAAAAAACTTGTTAACATGGGTAACAAAATACATTTCAGTTATCTCAACTATTATATCATAATTTTACTATGTTTTCACACAATGTATATTACAGGTTACACATTGATGAAGACTACATTTAACTACTATCACAGAGAAATCAGAAGAACAGACATTGAGGCTTCAAATTGGATAGACAACATACCTAGGGAGAAGTGGGCTAGAGCATTTGACGAAGGGCAACGTTGGGGACATATGACATCTAACTTAGCAGAGGCCAAGGCAACCAGAAACCTTCCAATCACTACTTTGGTCCAGTCTACATACTATTGAATGGGTTCACTCTTTGGTAAACGAGGATACAAATGGACCAAAATGCTAACTACAGGGAAAGTTTTCACAAATGGTTGTGACAAGGGAATGGCTGATGAGGTAGCTAAGGATAACACACACAATGTCATGCAATTTGATCGCGAAAGATTCTGTTTCATGGTGCAGGAAAAAATTAATCAAAACGATGGTCGTCCAACGGGTACTTTCAGCGTTGACCTGAGGAATCGTTGGTGTGACTATGGAGAATTTCAAGCATTTCACTTACCTTGCTCCCACGTGATCGTAACATGTTCTAGCATATGACAAGACTACACAATTCACATTCCAGAGGTCTTCACAGTACTTAACATATTCAAAGTCTACAAAGAAAGCTTTCTGGGACTACCGCACGAGGAGAACTGGCCAAAATATGAAGGTTTTACTCTATGCCACGATGATTCCATGAGAAGAAATAAAAAGGGACGTCCAACCAGTAGTAGAATTAGAACTGAGATGGACGACGCTGAAAAAGAAAAGAGAAGGTATGAGATTTGCAGAGAAATATGTCATATGCGTAAAAAATGTCCTAATGTTGTCGACCCGTCAAACCGACCGTCTAGATAATTTTATTTATTTTGCTCGCACTTGTTTTCTATGTGATCCAACATTTATTTGTAATTCAAGACAACTTTTAAATTACAACAATACTAGCAAATTACAACCATAAACTTAAAAATAAAACTCAGGGAGCTAACATACACGCTAACCAACAACAACAACCAACACAAGTGGATCTGCGACTTCTCTGTTAACTTCGCCACTATGTGCTGAAAACATGCATTTGACATCTTCATTGTTTTCTATACAATCCAAGTAATACATGTACATACCCTCAAGGCTGGCATCAGTCAGCGTTATATACGGACAATGATACTCCACTTTTCTCACTGTCATGCGACGACCGCCCAACTGCCAAAACCTTGTGTTAATTGCTGCAACCACGGTTCTGAAATTCTATTGCGGATCTAGGTAAACACTGATTTTTTTCTTGTCCATAAAAACAAGAGCTCGGACAGACATTTTTAAAACACGTAACACTAGACGCAAATGATTTGTGCTGATGCGCAACACGTCTATTTATAAAAAAAATTTACGTTTGAACTCGATCATTCAATGACCGAGACTATGTAAAAACTTTACAACTCCTTGGACGAACACCAATCATTCTTTTTTAATACATGACAAAAAGAAAAATTAAATTACTATATCGTTCACTTTTTTTTTCCATTTAATATAATATTATATAATAAAATTAATATAATAACATGATATATAATATTGTTTAAAGATTATTTATAATTAAATTAAATATCATAATTAAACATGATATTTAATAAATATTTAACATTAATATCATAATTAAATTAATATAATATATTTTTAATATTTAAAAATATTATTTTAATTAATTAAACATAGTATAAATAAATAAATAAAAACTGACTCTTCATGTGCTCATCATCTGAGTGTGCGAGCACCAACGTGACCAAAAATGTCTTTATCTGCTCGCCACTTCAGTGGACGAGTAGAACCTAGGACACATTCGTACATTATATTTAAAAGAGGATAATTTGATATTATGTGTTTCAAAATAGGATATTTCTGGAAATTCAAAAATGATTTTATTTTTTATTAAAAATATATAGATTTAATAATTCATAATCTGAACCATTAAAATTTTAATTTGAATAACTGGACAAATTAAAAACTCGAGCAGATATGGACTCCTGCATTTTTATCTTCTTCTTATTATTTTTGTTTCACATTCAACCGTGAATGCCATTAACAAAGAATCCACTATTACACTTTTAAAATAGATAATTAATTAATAAACAATCAACTGTGAAACCTCTTTCTTTAATTTATCGTGTAGTATAATAATGAAATAGTAGTAGGTAACGAGTTTAACATCTCAACCGTTCAATAAATAAATAATATATTTATGTTTCTTTTTCCCATCTTAAACACCACCTTATTAATAAGAATATTAGTTAAAATAGTTTGCTTATTGATAATTCTTTGACACTTTTAAGAATATTGACGTTTTCTATAGGTCGATTGAATCATTGGGCTTTCATTATATTTTCAAGCCTTCTGTATAGGTTTTAATTCTTTGATGTTTAAATTCAACGTATGAGATTTATGTTGATTATTTTTGCATTAAATTTTTTGAAATTTACTTTTATATTTTTGTAAAGTTGTAGGATTTATTGATTGATTCTCCTAACGTAATAAATTAAAATTTGAAGTATTTGTATTAAACATAGGTTTGGTATAGTTTTGTGAAACTATTTTACGTAAGTCCGAATCGTATCTATTAATATTAGCTCATCAATTTCCACGTTAATAGAACACTGAGACGTGATACTGTGGTACTAAACGCCATATAAACACATGCTAAGTGTCTCAAACGCCTCAAGTAGAATTAGACATATACGAAATAAAAATATAATTATAAGTTAATATAATAAATATCTAAATACTATTCAGTATTTAAGAAAATATATACAATTATTGAAGAAAAATGTAATGATAAAAAGAAAAGAAAAAGAGAAGGTCCCAGGATGGAGAATGATAAAAATATAATGATGTGGTGTTCCTATTTTAGAACATAAAAGTATATTATGACTTGACGTTGAACAATTTTGTTAGTAGAATCAAGGGGCATAGGAGCGGAAACTAATATAATGTTGAGTAAAAAGGGTGCATTATTGGATATAGCCATCATTAACTTGTGTGTATAATTATGTCTTTTTTGTTTTGTTTTAGTGTATACGAGAGTTACAATTTTAAATTAATTGAATTAATTTAAAAATAGTTTAAAATTAAATAATTAATACATTAAATTTAATTTATAAATTAATTAGGGGCAAGCTTGAACTAAAATTTTGAATTCATTTATAAAAAAAAATATTCGTTAAATAAACTATCTAAACTTAAACTATTTAGAGGTGTTTTTTCATAGTCTCAGTTAGGGTTTGAATTTTCTTCTCTTATCAAGAAGTTATGTTTCCTGTTTTTTTTCCTGGTTTATCGGTCCGATCTACTGTGTTACTAAACAATGGCAAGTCCTAACATCGAAGGCTTATCGCTACAAGAGGAGGAGGAAGAGAAAGAATTTTGTTTCAATGTAGAGGAGGAATGAGTGGATGCATGTGACTTATAATGGTGTTTAGTGGGGGGGATTTGTGTGACAGATCTATCCATGTGAGGTCAATGAAGATGAAAGTGCCAGATATGTGGCAGCCGGTGAAGGGTGTTACGATTAGGCAAGCGAATGAGAGGTTATTTTTGTTTCATTTCTCTCATAATTTGGATATGGAGGGTGGACCTTGGACTTGTTAGAACAAGATTTAATTCTGCATCTATACCTTTGAGTTTTGATGATAACAACATAGTATTTGTGTGAGAACAATTTTGGCACCCTAATAGTTTGTTATTGCGTAGCTTTAACAATCAGTTCTGATTATGAGTTTATGACGTGCAACGTCATCAGTTTCTGAATATTTGTTCTAAAAATTCGCTTTTGCACCGATTCACTTCTGAGAAGTTCTAGAAAGACACTATGTTGCTGCTGCAATGTTCTCTTCGTTTATGCTTCTAGACGTAACTCTGATCATCAAGCTTCTGAAGAATGGAAAGCTTCTGAAATTTTGTTACTTAGTTGAAGACTCTGAACATCTCAAGCCAGACACTGACGATGTCAAGGTTTTGACAGAAAATTCTGATTTCAACTGTGTGTTTCCTCTTTTCATGCTTCATCAACTTTCTATTAGAAGCCAATGAATTTGAAGATAAGATTAAAGTGGATACATGATAAAATAGTACATGGTACAAATTGAAATATTCCTTCCACTACCTTAAAACATGGGTGAAGGATAGTACTATTCATCACACCTGTCACTAATCCGTTAGTGGACAGTGTAACACCCCCTTCTATACCCCAAAATAAACAAATAAATCACATAAGCACATAATAAAATTTCATCAGAGTAAATTTGACACATGGTATAAAAGAAGTATGCCACATCATTCACCAAAATAACATACAACACTTGCTCTATAAAAGACATGTAACAGTGGGGTAGCTCAACAGAGGAACTTAGTCCATACACCCACATCTCAATATTTAGAATTAAAGCGGAAAATCTAAACATTGAACCACTTAAAATATGTAGTCATATAAATACATATCATTCAGTTTGTTTCATCGCATCATTCATGTTTACATAAACATTCACCATCAGATACATATACAAAATGTATCCCAAAAGAATACTATACAATCCTAACTACCCGGTGCTACATATCAGAGCATAACCGACAAAAAGAATGAAGCTATACTTCACAAAAGACCTCCAGCAAACCTAATCTGCAATGCCTCATAGAGCATTATAAAACACCAGAAGGGTGAGAAACATTATCATAATTATCAATGCATATATATATATATATATATATATATATATATATATATATATATATATGTATATATATATATATATATATATATATATATATATATATATATATATATATATATATATATATATATATATATATATATATATATATATATATATATATATATATATATATATATATATATATATATATACACACACACACACGCAAACATAGAATACACATATTCCGCATTTCTCACCACAATTCATTCATAACTCATCATACATTTCACAACATGTATAAACACACATGGATAATCACAAAACATATTTCATCATGCACATATCCATAGTTCTCAACTCAACAAATCCACACACAAGCATATTTCATATAAAAATGATATCTATGCTATGTGACCCAACACAACTCAATGCAACTCATGCCATGTGGTACCAACACTTGTTATCATTTTTCGGTTTTGATCGGTGGATTTCAGTTGTGTTTTCAAACACTGTTTGTGGTTAATTTCGCAATGTTTTTATCTATTTTTCGAA